GGAGAGGCAAAGGGAGGGGTTGCCAACCTATAGTAGGCTGAGTAGTAGTAATTGAAGAGTTTGATTCCGAACGTAACATTTTAGTCCCATGATGATGAACTAGAAAAAATGACACAGGAGATCAATCACATTAAAGAATACTGTTAGCAGGAAAAGAAACAAAGTACAGTCAGGAGTTGAATATGCAAAGGGGTGCTCAGGTCCGGCCTTTGGCACACATTTAGGAGAAAAGTTGCATCAGGAAAAGTACTCAAAGGTTTGACTCAATAAGAAGAATGTATTTAGAAGACTTTGCACAGTCACACCAACTTTCCTAAGCAACCCAATAGAACACCGCATGTTCTAATCCAGTGATGGCGAACCTTTTGAGCTCGGCATGCCAGCATTTTCAAAAACCCTAACTTAACTCTGGTGCCGTGTCACATATAGAAATTTTTTGATATTTTCAACCAGAGTAAAACAAAGTTTATATTTTTGATATTTATTTTATATATTTAACAAAGAAAAATCAACCAAAAAAATGAGTTCGCTTGTCACCTCTGACACGCGTGTCATATATTCGCCATCACTGTTCTAATCTTTGTTTCATAAAAGGAACTACATTACCTTAGGCTGCATTATTTTCAAAATACGAAACAACAAGGAAAATTGTGTGATTTTACACCTTTTGACTTGCAGACAGCAGAGCTCCTAGGTATGGCTGTGTGATCATCCTACGGTGGCCTTGGCAGAGAGGCCTGCTGACCACAGAGGAACTCACCCAACACCTGTGTCTTTAGTGGCAACCTCGATAACCAACAGCCCACTGGGGGAACCATGACTTCCCACTTGGTAGCCTGATAGTGCTGGCACCAACATTTGTTCTTGTTTGTTTAAAGGGATTAAAATGGGTTCAAGAAAAGCACAAAAGTCTTTTTTGTCTTTTTCAAAGAAAAATGGGCCTACTGATGAGTCCATGGGAGCTAACTAGAAATGGTAATCAAATGACCACTTGTAAGGTGAATCAATTAGGGATTCAAAAACCGACAACAGGGTCTGAAAAATAAGGAAAATTAAAAGCCGATCAAGGGCTCTTAGGCTGGCAGACATGGCGAGAGCTATAGTTTATGTCTATATTTTTAATGTTCTGCTACTTCAAAGTCAGAGTCGCGTTATCAATTCTTGTTTTTTTTTAATCTTTAAGTATTGCTTTCCTCACCTCCTCCTAATTGCATAAAAAATTTCACTTTTAAACTTTTACTATCCAGTATCTTCAGTATCCATCACCTCAATTTTTTTCCCCTCCTACTTGGCTATTTAATGAGAGATGAAATCCTTCCCCTGGTTGGTACAATTGCTCATTTTGAAAATTGCAGATGGGATGGTCTCAGAAAGGAAATCTAGTATTTCTTGCCTCCAGTCCCATGTTTATCCAGAGAAGTAAAAAAGTAATGAGAAGAACATGGTTAATGACTGCCACAGTTCTCTGGACACTTCGGGCTGACAGACCAATGTGAAGCACTATTGTAAATAAATGACCAAAATTATACCCAGCGTGATTTTGTTGCTAGAAACGAATACAAAATCGACATCCTTTTATGGTGCTATTATCTCAACATAGGTATCTCCTTACCCCTGCAAGGATCGTTTTTCACCAAGAACTCATCCAGTGCCATCCACCCGCCTCCAACGCGAACCATCACGGTACTTCGCAGGATTCGGACCAGTCGCAGTTGCTGGGAGTCTCCAAACTGTGAAGACGAAGAAAGAAGACCCTCTGATTGTCACTACTCATTCTACACTATCGGGGTAGTGTGTGATCTGCAGTGGCGTAAGCAACCAACTTTAACATTTTGCTTAGTTCACAGCGATTAGTAAAATCTCAGAAAAAGGGGTGTGTAATGATCTGCGTTAGGCTGCTGCATGCTGATTTAGCTCAAAGGAAATAGTTTGAAAAAAAGATAACAAAGGTTATCAAGTAGAATATGGAAGATTTCTTCTAAAAATGATTTTTCTTTCTCATGACAGATACATTAGTAAAGTGGTGATTGAAAAATGTTTCTAGAAATCAAAGAGCCATGAATATAAGCACGGGCCCACTTGCCCAGGGTTTATACAAAGCAAGATGATTCTAAAGAAGATGTAGTAAACTCTGATTCTTCTTCATTAAAACCTCCTCTTACACTAAAACTTTGCCATTGAAATCTGTGGGAGAAATCTTCATAAACTCATAAGGTGATAAAGTAGTAAGTGAACATAACCAATAAATATTTCACAGTCAAATAAAATTTCTGCATCGCTAATAACCTGGCAAGCCCATTTGTTAAAGACTGGACGAATGTGCCATTTTATATTACTGTAACATTAGGACAGTCACTGGCACATTAATGATACAGCTTTCAAATCTACAAGACTTTCTCTTCAAACTGTGTGTACCATAACTGCTGACTGTAATAAGCAGTCATCTTTGTCTTGCCCTTTCCACGGATCTCCAATCACTTGGATATGCTATAAATTCTGCAAGTCCTGAATACATGTCTAGACTACACGTAGTTTCTGATCACAAGGTTGATTTGTTTTGAAAGCCCATGAGAAATAATTTTATACTTTTAAATCATTTCTAATAGGCTCATATCCAACTTATAAAAAGCACCATATTGAATTTCACGGCTGCCAACCCAGCAGATACCATAGCAAAATGAACAGTCAATTACACATACACAGCTTTTTTTTTTTTTAAGGCAGGTAAAATACAATTGTGACTTTGACTATTTGCCTAGGCTCATGCTGGATAAACAGAAAACTTTAAGTAGAAGCAATCTGCTACCCTTCAATATGCTGAACCACTGAGTTTCAGGAAGTGAACCCTAATACAAAGCCAACCATTCAAGACCCTGAAACTCAGAAGGACCTCAGAGGCATGTAAAATGCACCGGCAGGAACTCATGCGCTTTACATCAACCCTTTTTATATTGCAAATTCTAAGTCAATTTTTAAGCCTTGAGATTGAACTTTTCTACCATTGAACCTATTCCTATAATGTACTTGAAGTGTAAAAATTAAAAAATATATATATATACTTATTTTGTTAGAAAAAAAATTTGGTGCTGCTGATAAGCAAAGGGAAAGGAGGGGATTGAAAGAAAATTACCCTTAAGTAACCAGATAATTAGACCAGACATTTTTGGTCCAGGATTACATTCAAAACAAAAGTTTTAAGGAACTGGCTGAAGTACTTTACACATGTGAAATTTCAATTTTAATACACAGATGATTTTAAATTTTAATTTGAGAAGACATTATCTCACATTGTCTTCAGAATTTTCTTAATTCTCCCAAGAGCCAAATTATGAGACAAGAAAAAAATAGACTAATGCTGTTCTTTGTGCTTTCAATGAAAGAAAACCTTTTGAGGTATTTAATCCTTTCTGCAAATAAATGATGCTAGCTTAATTGCTACTCCAAATAACAAGAATAGAAACTAAATTTTATGTATTATAACATATAGAAGTTTTAAAAACCTCTATTCAAATTAACTAAACATTTCTATTTGAAACGATTATGTGATTGAATAAGTGGGGATCGTAGATAATTTGAAGTTTAAGATGTAATATGGACTTAAAACTACGAGGCAGAGTAATAACGAATATGGTATGGTCAGGTACTATAAATAGCACTGCTCTTTCCAAAAGCACATAGTAAAAAAAATCCTCCTCGTTTCAATCAAAACATGACTGCTCTTGTCTTTAGTTCTAAAATTCTTATGTGCAGTACCACTGCACAGTTTATATACTGACTTAAATGTGAGGTCAAAACGGCATAAATTGTGACTAAGATTTCGTAAGTTACAAGAGATACATTTTCTCAAAAGGAATTATAACATTCAAAACCTCCAGGGTTAAAATTTCTATTCATAGGATGCAAAGTTCTAAATTGATTTAGGACAAATGGACAATATTTGCTTTGGAGAGGACACATTATTTGTGGCTGAGTGCCACTGAGGCCTCTCCATACCCTGTCTTTGTATCTCTGCCTGATGCCGATCCTTCTCTAGCTACTGTGTACCACACATCCTCAGTGGTAAACACCAACGAAGCTACTTAGGGATGTGTGTTCCAATGAGTACCCGCATAAACCCTATGCTAATAGTATTATCAACAATGGGAACCAAAAATGGCATTTGTAACACTGTAACCAGCCAAGCCACAATTCATTATCTGGTTTGCTTAAAAGTAATCTCCTCATTTGAGACACAAGGCAAAAAGGGATCCTGGATCAAGGATCCTTGTAGCATTTACAGAACCACCACGCCAACCAACAATGTAGTAGCTAGGGGGGCAGCATGGGAAAGATTGGCCATGGCAAGCTTTAATGACTATGAATTAAAGTTTAAAAAAATCATCGGGAACTTGCGAATACATTCCACTGAATTATACCTGATTTCCCAGGAAGAACTGATAAAAAAAATGAAAAATGGGAGAAAGATATAATTAGTTCAACAGGAAACTTTCTATATGGCTCTAGAATACACACACACTCACACCCAGGGCTTCTAGATATCACATCTAGTTTAGAGATGTGCAGGCATCCAACTTCAAACCCAATAATCAGAAAATTCTCTATGTAAATTTTCTGAAAATCTTTGGGTTTCAAATTTAAATTAAAAATTCAAATACTTAGATGAATATTTTTCAATATGTAAATATAAAAATAAAAACGAATTATGTTTCATTTGTAAGTAATATACTGTATTAGAGGACACCTGGCACATTTTCTATCTAGCTACTACATATCAGAGACGTTCCAAAAATGAGAAAGAGTGATGAAGTCACATTGGTCTTCAAGTAATTGTTTTGAGGAAGGTGAACCAAGTTATTGAGATTCTGAATAAAAGGGAATACTACTGTACAAGTGGAAAACATTGCCTCTTTTTCATTTTATAAAAATTAGACAACATTTTTAATTTTGTTGTTCTGGCCTGGAATAGCTTTATTATTGAAAAGATGAAAACTTACCTGTAATCATATAAAATAGGTTATCTATATATATAGAAGCCTAAGCAACCATTCCACTGGTCGCTATGATGCGCACTGACCACCAGGGGGCAGATGCTCAACGCAGGAGCTGCCCCCTGGTGGTCAATGAGCTCCCACAGCAGGAGCACCGCTCAGGTGACCAACAGGTGCCAGATGCGGGGCTCATGGCTGGCGAGTGCAGCTGCAGCCATGTGAGCCTCTCCCATGGACACTTCCCCTGCGCGCCCCTCCCCCAGCCGCCTGCCGCTTCGTTGGACTGCTGGTTTCGGCTCAATCCCCACAGGCCACACCAAGGGACCCCACGGGTGCACGAATCCATGCACCAGGCCTTTAGTAAAGTCATATGAAGCAATATAAATATAAATAATGTGTTTTTCTGCAAATATTTTTCTTCTTAAAGGGAATGTACATGTTAAAGGTATGTCCTTATATAGAAAATGCATGCTATTTTTATGTAATTTAAGATGATGAGAGTTAGAAAGTCATACACCATTCAATTTTTATGAGGTAAAAATAAATAATTAGCATTCCTAGAAAAAAATGCAGATCAAATTACAAACAAATTTTGAGTTTTATGCTTTAAAAGAAATACAAAGTTACTTTGAAAACTTACCCTGTATTTGTTGTCTCCAATCTGTTCAACTTGAAACCGTTTTGCACATTTACACTTAGCTACCTGCCTCGTCACCTGCCAAAAACAATAATGAGATATCCACTTTAATGTTATTATTACATAATGAATTCTTAATACCCTGACCAACTGCCAAACATGGAAATAAATAAAAGGGCTGCATGAGTTGTGCATGAGATCTGGCAGAACACACTGTGCAGTCATGTTGCTGCAAGCGGTGGATAGTGAGTACCTCATCTTCGATTTTGTCAGCATCGGTGACAGGTTTGTATGCATCCTTATTTGGGTGAAGGGCGGCTACAAATTCATAGTAGTCAATGTAGCCATCACCGTCTCTGTCGAAGATGTCTGCGACTGCGCTCATCTCCAGGCGGCTGGTAGGGAACTCTACATATTTTCAAAACAACAGCAAGTACTGTTACTTACTTGACAAGGTTGTAAGATATTTACAATGTACATTGTAATCATTTGATATTTGTATATATCAGGGAAAGAATTCCTCTATCTAGTTAATTAACCTATCTATTGCCTCACATATTACTTATCTTTTATGTGTGTGTGAGAGAGCATTTAAGGACCACTCTCAGTTATACAATACAGTGTTATCAACTATGGTCACCATGTCACACATGAGGTCCTCGGGCCTTATTCATCTTAGAGCTGAAAGTTTGCATCCCTTTACCAACCTTTTACCATTCCCCCAGAACCTGCCAACCACTCTTCTCTGTTTCTATGAGTTTGACTCTTTATTTAGATTCCACATACAAGTGATAGTTAAGATACTCTCAGTATAAGCCACACGATATTCCCAATTAAACTTTATAAGAACTGCTACTTACTATAACGTTTTATAAAAAGACTTAAGTCTTTAAAAAAAATAGTAGGCAGTGTAACTTAATTTCCTCCTCAAGACATTCTCAGTTGTAGATATTAATTTTAATGTGGTTGATTAAATTATCAGGGTCATAAAATATATTAAAATATTTTTTAAAAATTGATTTATATAACAAATGAATCATTACACACACACACACACACACACATATGATCTAAATTTATCTTTAATTACTCCTCAGGTGAATCATTTGAAATTGCTATTTTTCTAGGTTGATAACTATTTAACATTAGCAAATTTCAAATGTTTCAACTACCACTTTCCTTAAGGAATAATTTATATGAAATTTACTTTAAGAATGACTTCCAGTAATATGTGCCAGAGCTATCACATACACATGACCAGACCATCAAACAAGAGGATGATGTGTACCTTCCAACATTTATATGAAAGAGTCCTAATTTCCTACCAGTGATAATGTTAGCTCAGAATGTCAATCAGAAAGAAAAGGAAGAGACTGGCTTGCTGATTTCCATTCTGCCAGGCAACACAAACAATCTAAGAATCACATTTTATTAACTTTATTATACTAATGAGGACACAGCTTCAGTGGTGTGAGGAAACACAACTAGTTAAGGGTGTCTGATTCCAAAGCCATAAATTTTTACCAAAGGCACTTTTTTTTTGAGAGTGGTGACTTCATAGCCAAGTTTAAAGGCGAAGCTTTATCGGTAACACGAGTTTACTGGCCCCACAATTTTAAACTGTGCTTGTTTTCTTTTAAAATTGCATCCATTTCAGTCACTTCTCTTGGGACTTACTTGAGGAAAGAATGCCATCAATAAATTCTTGTCGGGTTATTTTCCCATCCTGGTCTTTATCAATTCTCCTGAAGAAGTCCATCACCCGAGATTTCTTGTGGTTCATCCATCGCATGTACTTTTTGCGCCAGATATCAAAGTCAAAGTTAGCAAATTCCCGCAGCTGGAAAGGGCAGAAGATATTTTGGTGGGGTTAATGCTGTGCTCAAGCTACAGCTTATATGAAGAAAGTTATTTTTAATGAGCCTCTAGGTAATACAGGTATCTTTCCCACTTCAAAGAAAGGTATAACCTTACAAAGGAGACACACACAAAAAAATTTTTCTGTAAAGTGTATTACTGTCACTGTGGTCATTCTGGCTTTTCTTTACAAATACAGGGGAAAATCAAACTCCCAAAAAAAGTCAAACTGAAAATTCCTGACAGTGCCAAAGTCACGCCACGGGTAAGTTCTGTGCCCACTGGGCAGTAGGCCCAACTCAGCAGCACAACTCGCTGTCTGCAACTGGCACTCCCCTAGGCTGCTAACAATGGCCCAGTTTCACAATCTGAAACCCTAACTCTCAGATCAAAGAATGAATATAAGGAAAATATCTGAATTATAAATGGGTATATTTGCTAGTTAATACCACCAAGCAAACATATGTCAAGCTAGATCTTGTGTGGTTTTTTTAAAAAATCCTCACCATTGACGAGTTGCCTCCCGTAGCGATCGAACCTGCAACCTTTTGGTGCAGGGGGCGATGCTCCAACCAACGGAGCCACCCAGTCAGGGCTAGATCTTTTCTTGAGTCAGTTTCTGATTATGTTGAAACATATTATTTTTTCACTTTATTGCTTCCCTAAATCCCAGTTCCACATATCACATCCCCTCCTCCCCCACCATAAATGTACATACTTGTGGTATTAATTTTAGAAGTAAAACACACACTCAAATAGCAAGAGTTTGCTTAAGTATTGTCAGGAAAGTTGAAAAACCAAGATGTTGGCAATGTGTCCCAGTAAACAGAGCAAATGACGATACAGTGCGGAATATCCATGCGAGGTTCTCACCTCCTCTAGTCTGTCCAAGGCGTCATTAAGCTTCCTCCTCCTTTCCAATGCGAGGAGCCAGACTTGCTGCCATTTGCTCACCAGTAAGTTGACCCTGGGATTCTTGGTTTCAATTTGTGTCTGTGGCCCAGAGGGATATAAGCTGGAGGCTGGGAAGCGTTTTCCTGTTAAAATAAAACTTGAGTTAGGATGGCAGTTTCCGGGCTTCTGAAATAGGATAATGTTTGGCCTTCATTTGTTCCTAGCTAAGGCTGAATCAGCTTCATTCTTGGGTAGCACGAGAAATACCCTGTTTAGATGATGCCCAATATCAATGGCAGGTGCATTTAAGTACTGGAAAGCTCTCTCCATAAATGTATGCTTAAGATAGTTTTGAACTTCAAACTCATGCCATTTCAATGAGAATGAAGTATATTGTGGTAAGGCATCTCTTTGTTAAGGCATGATAACAGAAATCTCCCAAGGTAGTGAGAATAGTCAGAATCAGTTACATAAACCTAGTTGCCCTTCGCAGAGAATAGGGCTGCAAGCAAGACAGCTGAGGGCAAATGAGGGCAAGAGAGACTGGGCGTCCATTAGAGTCAGAACGAGATACTGAACAATTCCAATCCGATGTGGGAGTAGGACACCAGCTTGCACCCAAGTCCGTTTCCCACTGACACTGTGTTTCCCAAGCGTAGTCTCACACACAACTTGCTGCCTCACTAAAGTTTTCTCCCTCTTTCTGGCTATTTTTCACCAATGTCTACAACTTCACAGGACAATTGTCTCAACACATTTTCCTCACTAAATAGTTAACTGTGGCTTAGAAAAATTACTGTGGCTTAAGGTCATATAGGAAGTTGCTGTCCATCTGGGATTTGCCCAGAATTCCTAACTCCCATGAGGCTTTACACATGTCAGAATATCAAAAGCTAATATTTATGGGGCATTTAACTATATGCCAGAAAGTATGCTAAGCACTTCAGGAACATTAGCTCATTTAATCCTCACCACAGTCCAGTGAGGTTATAATTAACCCCTTTTACAGATGAGAAAACTGAGGCTAAGAGAGAGAGAAAGAGAACTCAGTAACTTGTCAAAGGTTACATTTCCCAGTTGATGAGTGATGATAATAGCTAAGGAGTCTGTTTTCAGAGTTCTTTAACCACTTTGTTGTTTTGCCTCCTTCTGCAACACAGTAACTACAATAGATCTGAAACCATTTTTTTAAATCATAGCACCATTCAGAAATATACACATGGATAATATAAACTGTGCTTTTAAAAAATATTCTCCAAGTTAGCTATTATTTTTTTAATGTTACTTCATTGGGTTAAGGTAGCCTACAGTCATACAAACATGGGCATAATCTATCAGATTGCTGGTCACTACTGAACAGATAGGTCAGGAACTTTATCTAGGTCACGGCCATTTCTGTTCCATTCCACTCTAAGGTTATTTCTATAACAGAAGCAAAACGAGACAATTCAAAGGGCCTGATGATCTCTGTTCTTCTTGCAAACTTTTCAGTTTCTTCTAGCTAATTGAAAAGATAGACTTCAAGCCAATGAACTTGTACATTCTGACCTGGACGTGTCTTTTTCTTTATTTTAAAATGAGTGGCTATGAAATTTGAGCCCACGTATTCTTTCAAGAAAACGTTTTAGAATCGAGAGCTCATGTAGAATCACCAATTGCTCCAAAACTTCAAACAATAAACCAGAACAAAAGAAAGCCAACTTCCTTGCTTCACCATTTAAAGAACTTGGCCACGGCTTACTTCCTGCTCGTCCCTTATCCAGGACGGGAATGTGGGACTGCAACGAGGAAGGGTCAGCTGTTCTCCTCTTGTAGGTTTTGGTAACTTTATCCACATCAGGCTGTTTTCTGGTCATTTCCTCCATGAAGGTCTGAAACGCAAGAATTCATATCAATTAAATACAAGTATGCCAGAGAAAGCCACCTTTAGAAATGAACTAAAAACAACAGGATAAAAAGACAACGCTATTATTTCTGAAAAACAAATAGGTCATCATGTTTTATCTTTGGGAGGGGGCTGGGAGAGGATGGCAACTAAACCATCATGACATAGCATTTACTCACTCCTAAAGACTATAAAATGTTATAGCTGCTAAGTAAGTCCAGTATTACAAAAGCAGTTGGTTGTCATATGAAAACCACACTTGGGAGTGGCTGTGTGAATAGCGTAACCTGTGTGTGCACCAGCCAGAATCAAGTGTCCACACTCTTCAAAGGATCTTAAAGTGAGCATTTGTCTGCAAAGGAACTAGTTCACTGGGGTGGCCCCTAATACTCTTCCGTGGCACACTTCACCTACATATTTAAGATGGCTGTGATATACAGTGACAATAAGCATCCACATTAAATGGGGATATGTTTAAATATTTCTGTCAATGAGTATGCTTTGCCAAGGAGGGTAAACATTATTCAGGTTTAAGTTTATATTTAAAAGGTCTGACCATCTTGCCATTTCTTACCTTGTCTCCTTAGGCTTATTATTCGTGTTGACTATATTGTCAATGTTATATATATATATATTTATTACTATATGCATTCCTCTATCTGGACTATGCAGCAAAGGCAGAGGCTGCAGTGAAAAAGGATGGGGAAAGGAGGAGGCAGATGACAGTGAAAAGTGACACATTTCTGGAATATTTGTTACATTGGAGAACTCTGATCACTTTAATACCTTTGATCACAGAGAACATGGCCTGAGATAGTGCAGGGCCATGATAGACACCAACACCTTATCTTTTTATTAAAATAATAATGGCAATGTTCACTGCTTAACCACCTAAGCCGACACAACGTTTCTCTTTGTAAATGTAAATTAGACTAACAAGCAAACAGATCAAGGTTAGTGTTTTGCCCATCATTTCAGAGTTTAAAACAGGCAGGATATACAGGAGAAATGACTTTTTAAAATATATATTTTTAATTGATTTCAGAGAGGGAGAGACAGAAACATCAATGATGAGAGGGAATCATTGATTGGCTGACTCCTGCATGCCCCCTACTGGGGATCGAGCCTGCAACCTGAGCATGTGCCCTTGACCAGAATCAAACCTGGGTCTCTTGGTTCATAGGTCGAAGCTCTCCTGCTGAGCCATGCCAGCCAGGCAGGAATAGATAATTCTGACTGC